CCAGGCATCCGTTTCTTTCTCTCCTCATCCACCACACACTCACAACATACCAGCAGATACAGTCAACCACAACAATGGCTGTCTTCTAGCTCTTCCGCTCTCTTCAGTCGCTTCAAGACGACACTTTGCATTCACAACTAGCATCCCCATTTCCACTTACCAACCTCAACCCTCAGAGTCTTCCTTCGCGGAATCTCTGAACTACAGCCCAGCCTCGTGCAGCTCTAGTTCTCTGACTACCACTTCCCCGTTCGACTTCACGTCGTCCACCACGGCTTCTCAAACCTCAACATGGCTTTCCTCACCAGCTCCCCCAGCCTCCAGGCAACAACTGCATTCGTCCCATACCGCATTCGCTCGTCAACAGTCAGACTTCGTACTCTACGACCAGCCGGCTCCAGCCCCTCCTCGGCCGCAGCGTGCACCGAGCGCGCCACAGTTTGGTCATCTGTTTAACGCAGGCCTACACTTCTACGCAAATTCTGCTCCATCGTCAACCACAGGATTACAGCAACAGTCGCAGCCCCAGTTACAGCAACAGCGCCCTCCGGTCCCTTTGTTCTCTAGCACCAGCAATACTCACACCCAACAACCCAACAACGTCGCAGCCATGGCAGGTAAGGCTCACACCAGCCGCGCTTACGGCGGACTCAAACTCACCTACGGCACAGATCTGAACAGCAACAACTCCTTTGACTCGGGGGCCAGCCTGTTCGCTGGCCTCCAGTCCGACATGTCTCCCTGGGAGGGTCCCGCTTCCGCGTTCACGGCAATCAACCCCTCGGTCGCGGGGTCTACGCGCACAGTGTCTCCCAAAGATGTGTTCGCCGACCCGCTCCAGTCCGCGCCACCTTCCACGACGTTCACCAACATCACTTCTCCCGACATCGATGACTCTCCTTTCGAGATGAACGACAGCTTCGAGACCTCTCCGATGTTTGGCAACGAATCCATGTCCGTCAACACTGACTGGTTTCCGTTGTTCACGCGGGAGGAGGTGGACAGCTTCACGGCCTTGCGAAACTATACCCCTGCAGCATCTGCCGCTCCTCTTGAGCGCAGCATCAGCAGCACGTCCGCGGGCAGGTCTAGCGTCTCGAGTGCAAACTCCCCTGCCGTTCTCGACAACCCCTCCCACCGAAGGAAGTCATCAGTTACCGGTTCACCTGCTATCAACGCCTCCATCACCAAGGCTCGCCGTCGAAAGGGACCCCTTCCCGCCATCAGTGTCGACCCCGGCGACAAGGTGGCCCTCAAGCGAGCGCGCAACACCCTTGCCGCCCGTGACTCCCGGCAACGGAAGTTTGATCATGTGAGCCAACTTGAGAAGCGCAATGCGGAGCTAGAGGCAGAAGTCGAGAGGTGGAAGAGTATTGCTCTTGCTCAAGGGTATTCCGAACCATAAGTATTCGGCAGTTTTTAGGGGAGTTGGTGAGGAAATCCTCACTCGCTCCAAAAGTGTTCTTTTTCCCTTTCCTTGTATGTTAGTGCTTTTGGGATGCTTATCATCTTGTTCCGTTCCAGACGGTTCGGGTGGTTATCCCCCGTCTATGCTCTTGTCCTGTGCTCGTCGGCCGGAGCGCAGTCTCCCTGGGGTTGATCGACTCCTCCTGGCTACGGCTTCGAATGTTCATCGGTGATGGTGATGGTGATGGTCGCTACCATATGATACCGTCCTTTCCATAGTTTTTGCTTTCTTCCGCGGATGGTGTTGAGCTTCAGGCTGAAACCTGAGGACCATCTCTTATATATATGTATACATTTGTTTCCACATCTATGACTCTTCTCTTGGTGACTCCTCGTAAGGCGTGATTGTGAGTAATGTGTGACTGGACACAGCTCATCCTTGATTATTGGTCATAATGGTGTGAGTGTGGGTGGCAAGTGCGCTTGTGACGCCGTGTTGCTCATAAGCGAAAGAGTCATACATTTTGGGCAGCGACAATGTAACACATCCTTTACACTCTCAATGCCTTTATACCTCGAACTATACTACCACATACAACCAGGTCCCAGATAACTCCTTCTCGTAAACCTCCTCCACCCAAACTCTCAATCCTCCACCTTCCAACTTCATCCTCCCCGAGCCCAACCCTCGACCCTTCAATGCCCTTTCTCTTGATCAATCTTCCAATCTCCTTGTCCAGTCTACCCTCTCCCCTGAAAGCCCATTCCGCCTCACTACCCAACTGCCCCACCGCACACCACGCCTGCCCCAGCAGGTTCCCTTCCCCGTCACTCCAGACATATAAGCCAATAGTCAGCGCTACGGATACTAGATGCATGCCCAAAAGAGCGGATATAGCACAGTACCCCCATGAGGTTATAGGGATCAACACCGAAACAATGAGCTGCATACTAGCTACGTTGTCGGTCGGTTCGAAGGTCATGAGGTTGTTGTAGTATGTCATGCGGTAGAGTAGCGTGGCATAGGCATGGATGGCGATAGGAGGATGGCTTGTGTCACGCAGAATGTCATTTAGCAGTGCAGCTTGCGTCATTTTGGGAGTTGCTGGCCAGTTAATGGGTGCGCAGAACTGACAAATTGGGAGATAGCTGCTTTCCCAGTACGAGGAAATAGCCTTTTGGAGAGGTATGAAATAAGGGCTTGTATCAGCGAAGTATTCCGGGTATATCGTCACATTGGAGTAGCTATCGAGACTGAGTATGCCGCGTTCTTGTAACGAGATGGTCTCGCTCGAGGTGCCGAGTTGGCGACGCAGGGCCGGAGTGTTGAAGGATTGCGTGGGAGGGTACCATGCTGGCGAGGGCTCGGTGATGTTGGCCTCGCGAGAGGCAAAGAGGGTCATGTAGCGATCGATGCCTATAGTGGTACAGGCGCTGACCGCGAAGGCGGCTTCGTACTCCTAGGAGATTTCATTGTTTGATCACGCGTTGCTGGCAGCGAAGTGCTTCAGTACCGTCCAATCAGACAATCCATGAGGAGGCAGGGTGAAATTGGTGTCTGTGACATTGAAAACCATGTACTCGTTCGCATACATATCCCATAGTAGTTTAGAGGGCCCATGCTGATATTCGATATGTCGAACAATCCTCCCAGTGAACAGAAAGTGTCCGGCCATTCTCCGTCGACTGGACCAACAAGCTTCCTACTAGTTGGAAATTGAACGAGACACTGAGATGATTACCTGTATCGTCCCGGATCTCGAACTGCTCGCGAATATCGTCGTCCAAGTCAAGCTACACAGTGCCGTTGACCTGGTACGTTCCGGAGCCGAGCTCATAATGTGTACTATCTATTTCCCAACGTGGCTTTACGCACATGGTCCGGGTAACCATGAGTGTAGGCACGCCCGAGTAGTTGCGCACGGTGGATCGCAACTCCTGAGACGCGATGGGAAGGAAACCTCTAAGATACACTCCCGTATCGTGCACGCCGGACTTATTCCATGGAGGTTCTGACAGCGCTTCGGCGAATGATAGTGCTGAGTGTTGTCGTCAGGGTGAGAACAAGTACTACTAGTCCTGCACTGGAGAGAGAGGTTAGGCCCATGTCGAAGAGCGCCATGATGAGTGACCATGGCCCTAAATTAGCGAAGCGGAGGAGCGAGACTGCAGCAGCATTTGGAAGGTGCACTTTGTGCCACCGGAGAGCGAGAGCATAACTGTACAGACGAGAGCTTGCGCTGTGATGGAGGAACGGATGGCGATAGAGGCGAGTGTCACAGAACGCGTTGCCCATCCCTATCCATTGTGGTCTCATCAGCAAATATGCTCCGAAGGATGTTGCTATACATGCATTCGATATGCCATACTATAACATTCGCCTAGGTATAACGATATCGTGTTTGAACGCACTGTCTCCAAGTCAGCATCTTTCTTCACAACAGCTCCCGGCCTTTCTTACCATTCACCATTATACTCCTCCCCAGCACATTCCCACCACCACTCCACCACAAAAACCACACAAAGCCAAAAGCCCCTAAAATAAACACCCCTCCCACCACCACCGAGCAAATAGAACAATACCCAATACGAGCCATCAGCCCAGGGCTTCTCCTCTGCTCACATGTCTCGAAAGACTGTACCATCTCATCCGCCCTTTTGGTCAATAGCGGCTCCGATCTATATGGCGATGGGGGTGTGGCGGGCGTCGACATGTCTACGATCTTCTCCCAGTGTTGGGATAACAGCTAAGCTGGAGCGCACACGGCAACTCGGGGCCTTTTGTACAGGCTGTATCATTGTGACTACGCCTGCAACTAGGTTTCTGCATAGTATAGGTCGGTAGGTACATATGGTAAAGGTAGATTGCTGGTCTAGAACAATAGATAGTAGCTGAGGCTGAGCGCGACTATCTAAGAATAGTGTATTGAAGGATACGAGCTGAAGTGAGTAAGGTTCGGGTGCGGGGAATAGGAAGGCGTGTGGAGGGTTTGATAGGATAAGTTTCGATGATGTTGCTCGCTTTCATGTAGGCTACTCTAATCGCGCTGTTGTAGACTACAACGTTTTTCAACAAAATCTTGAAAGGACTTTGTGTTTTGACAGGCTGCCATATAGTTGTATTTGGATATTACTTGAATAATTAAGTTCGACTTACTTTACGTCTGCGCTCACCATGTATTCAATAGATGATGTTCAGTGTACGGTGTTACAGGTACGCCTAAGCAATTTAGCTTACATTCCGCCGTAGACATGATATTTACAAAGTTTGAATGAAAGCAAGTATTGCTCTAAGAAAGTCAGTGTTAGATGTAATTATTTCCGAGTTCGTGACGTCCAAGCTTATTGTTACTTGATGAAGTTCCACGAGTCTATCCCCAACCAGTCTAACCATCTCGCTACCAACAATCGATAAGCCACCGTCCCATTTACCCCTCACCGCCCGCAAACTTTTCTAGCACATGTCCCACAGCCAGTCCATGTTCCCAGAAAGCTTCTGCCGCCCGCCTAAAGATTCCTATCCTCTCTTCTATGGTTTCATTATGTACATATATGTAAGTCCCCCAAAACTTCTATGATTGTCAAGCAACCAAGGCAAGATGGCCGAGTGGTCTAAGGCGCTGTGTTTAGGCTTTGTCTCTCAGGTAGAGCTAAAACCGCAGTCTTCACGGGCGTGGGTTCGAATCCCACTCTTGTCAAGCGCTGATTCTGTTTTTGTTTTTGGGTGTGGAGAGTGGTGCGTTGGGTGGAGCTTTTTTTTGGTTGGCGGAGTGGGGATGTGTGGCGGGGATGAAGAACACTGAACGCGAATACACCAACGAAACCTGGGGATTATTGTCTCATGAGAGAGTAATACTCTGTTAGTACATCTGGTTCTTTGCTGTGAGCATCAGAGGGGTTTGTTGGAACGTTTGTTGCGCGCTGCGAATTTTTGTGCTTTCAGGGGTGGGTGCCTTTTGCTGAACCTCTCGCTACAGTTACTTACAGCACCACGATCAAATGCCACCCAACTCTCACGCGTTGATTAAACCAACAGCACATATTTACAGTGCAAAACACTATCAGCACTCCACACCAATCTCTTCAGACTCCTGATATAACCCACATATTCTCGCTCACTAGACTTTCCAACCCCACTCGCTCGCCTTACACAACCCCCAACACCAAGATCCGCAACATAACCCCTACAGCAAACATGACCGACACCGACCGCGACCTTCTCCTCAGCGTAAGCTTCCCTACATTTCATTTCCCAATCTACCCTATCCTTCTATTCTCCTCCCCTGCACACACACACACACACATCCACGCACCCGTGATCTACTTAATAAAGCATTGGCGCACAGCTCCAATCCTCACTCCGCAACGCGCTTTCCACCTTCGGCCCCACGAGCCCGCAGTACCGCAGCATAAAACTCATGACCGATGAACAAGCTGCTAAAGTCGCGTTTGGGAATATGACGCTGTCGTCTTCGTCGGCATCGCTTGCTACTTCTAGACTTGAAAGGGAGGGACAGGGACAGGGGCGGGAGAAGGGGGAAGGGCGTGGGGATGTTGTTATGGGGGGGTAGATAGTTGGGAGTATGTATGTATGTATGTATAGGGGGAGGGTTTGCCAATCAATTCGAGTATGTACGTGCTAGATGGGTGAATAAGTAATGTTTTTTTTCGTCTAGTCCGAGGCGTAGGGTAGGATTACTTGGCTTGCTTGCTTGGATTGGTCAGTTGGAATTCCCCTATGATAAAGGATTACCGTAAACCTTATTCCCTTTGTAGAAAGTGCTAATGTATAAGCACTTTTGCTACGCTTGTCAGCGATACTTGCCGAAGGAACAAACAAGAGAAGAAAATACGTTTTCGTTTCTGGAACAAATTTGTCATGTGTCAAGTATGGTAGTGAATATGTTCAATTGGTATACGCTCTTTCTCCACTCCACTCCACCCTATTCCCGTCTCTGCGCACATCTCCTCATACATAGTATACATTTAGCGCTTGTATCCCAGGATCATCGCTCCCAACACTCATGACCCCCTCCCCGCAAGTAGAGTCCAAGAAAAGAGCGTATAATCATCAAAACGCCACCCAACCAGCCAGCTACCCATACCATCCCTGGGTTGTGAAAGAATATGACTCCAGGTGAATGCAGCAGCCGCGCAGAACAAAAGCAAGCAAGCAATGAATCCGAAGAAGCAATGTAACTATTTACTGGCCCCAAAAGCTCCGGCGCTGTAAGAGACCCAGTGGTATCGTATGTAGCGCGCCGTAATACTGCCTTGCTTGGCCAAGCGAATCCTAATTTCCTTCCGCCCCCAAACGCCCGGTAACGATGATGTTGATGTCTTCTCCGCTGCTAAGTGCATAGGGATAAGCACGATTCACCTGATTGCGATTGATGCAACGGTCACTTATCGGTTTCGCCATGATGCCGCTCGAGACCCAGCGAATGATATACCCCTTTTTGGATCCAGATTCTGGAACTCATGTTTGCGCCCCTCGCGCAAATCCGCTGTAGATTGCAGCAGATTGTTGATAGATCGGAGCAAAGCCAGCATGCTTGGCTCTTCACTCAATCAATGGTTTTCGTACCCCTCCTACGATGGCCATGCCCAATGCGCGGAGCCCACTAGGGTCGCTGGAGCGGATGACGGTGGCGGCGGGGAGCATTGGGTTGTCGGGCGCGACGTGCGCGGCATCCTTGGCTGCCTGTTCTATGGCCTCCATCTCTTCTTTGCAGCCGGCGTGGTCAAAGGGACATACGACGATGGGTTGGCGGAGGAGGATGTCTCGCGCTGATGACATTTGCGCCTACTCTCGTGTTAGCATGACCTACAAGGAGACTCGACATGGCATTACTGACCTTGACAGTCAGATAGTATTCGATTTTGTACAGCGTGCCGGTGGTGGTGAAGCCGTTGACGGCGTACATGGGGAATTCCTTCTTCCCGCGTGGTATTATGCCTTCAGAATCCCGCACGTCTTTCGCAGGGAACACCAGACCCAAGTTTGTGAAGTAGCCCGCCTCCGGCATTTTGACACCAACAGCCTGTGTTGTCTTCGCCAGCGTCTTGACCTTCCTCGTCGGCTCATCCCCCTCGTGATTGAAGATTATTTCCTCGTCTATGCCCACCGTGATCTTTTGTATCGTAACCTTGGTTGCCTTCTTAAGCCAATCCGGGTTCGGGCTGAGCTTGATGTACACTGACACCGGATCCAGCGGTCCATAACTCCATCTGGGCAGACTGATGCCCAGTGTGACCAGGTGATCCGTAACTCGCTCCGCGCTCTCCGGTCTGTTGTACATGCCAAACGTAGACAGCGTGTCGTAGCGCTGTATAGGCACCGGGAATGGGTACTTCTTCTGGTCCGAGGAGCCCTGCTGTACGGACACGACCAGCTCGTAGAATGTCTCCGCGGTTCGACTCGGCAGCTGCAAGCTTGCCGGGGGTACTCTCCGCGCAACCTCCTCCCCGCCGCGGCCATAGGGTATGAATATTACAAACGGGAGGTCCATGGAGAGCACGCTGTCGTATTCGCGGCCGTGCGGACACCGGTAGAGCAGCATCTCCTTGCCCACAATGTCCGTTATCTCCTTGCGCGGGGCAGCCAGGTGCTTCTTGGTGACCGAGTCGGCCGAGGGGTGTATCGTCTCGCGACGCTGCAGCGAAATGGTGACGAGCGAGATGTTGACGGGCGCCGACACACCCACCAGCGGGCGTATCTCGACCTTGCCTTCTATACGCGGCTGGCAGATGGTTAGTCGGAGCCTCTGCACAGGAAAGAGGGCAGACGTACCAGTGTCGCGGATATGCCTGGGTAGCCGACCAGAAAGTTGCTGTTGGGCGGTCCGGAGACCCGCACAAAGGCCGACATGGCTTCGCACGGTGACGGTGACGGAGATGTCGCGCTGGCCTGGGACGGCAGCGAGCGCCCATGGGAGAGAGCCGGCGTCCTCTACTCGCAGACACCGGGAAGCTCGCGCTCGGAGGGTGCTGGAGACAGCGTAGGGCGGGTAGACGGGTGCGGGTGGTGACGTTGGCGTGCGCGAGGCTGGGTGCCGTGCTGCGGGGGTGGGCGAGGGCGCCTCGACGACTTCGTGGACGGCGGGGGGGAGGGGGCTCACGGCGCACTGAGGTTACACGGCGACGACGGGACAGCGACAGTTCGGTAGAGCAAAGGTCGCGGGCGTGGCCGGTGTTGGTGGACGTCGGCGCAGGGCCGGGGCGAAGCTCCGCAACGAATCGTGATAGGCCAGAGTGCCCAGCAATGAATATGGAACGACTGCTACAAAGGTACTATGGGGCGGGAGGCTGGGACAGGGCGGATGATTGTATGCGACGATCGATCCAGGTCGATGGCAACGAGAGGGTGACGGGCAGCGAGTGCCTGCACAGGGCGTGAGGCTGTAGTCTGGATTAGCACGGGGAGCGATGGTTGCTGCGGAGGTGAGTGTTGGCCTGGAGTTCGGTCGCGAATGCGAACCTAGCAGCGTTCCGATTCCGCGCTGCACCTCACACCTCCACTCCACACTCCACGCGCCGCCACCGGCCAACTGCCACCCACCACCACGCGCTTGATCGCACAAAGGATGCGGGACGAGCTGGCCAGTCATGTCCGTCACGGTATGTCGCGTCTCCCTTGGCCACCAATCACCACCGTCGACCATACTGACTATACGCAGCTGCACACCACGCTCGGTGACCTCAAGCTCGAGATCTTCTGCGAGTCCGTCCCCAAGGCCGCCGAGAACTTCCTCGCCCTCTGCGCCTCCTCCTTCTACAATGGCAGCCCCTTCCACCGCCTGATCCCGAACTTCATGGCGCAGACCGGCAGCCCCGCGTCGGACCCCAAGTCCAAGTCCTCGACCTCCATCTACGACACGCCGAACCAGCTGTTCGAGGACGAGATCCGGCCTGCGCTGCGACACAATGCGCGCGGCATCGTTAGCATGGCGAACAAGGGCGTAGACAGCAACGGTTCGCAGTTCTTCATCACCTTTGCGCCCGCCCCGCATCTGGACGGAAAGAACACCGTGTTTGGGAAGCTGCTGGAGGGGGACGAAGTGCTGGACAAAATAGAGGACGTGGAGGTGGACAAGAAGTCACGGCCGAAGCAAAAAGTGGACATCAAGAGCGTGACCATACATGCCAATCCGCTGGCTGGGTGAGACGTGAAAACACACGAGTGTCAAGAATGCTATTTTGGGGCTGAGAAGCCTAGGTATCTACCGAATGTATCCCAAATGAAAGAAGAGACGTAAAACAACCACACCTACGCACCGTTTGTGGCCGCTCCGTTGACCGTGTCACCGTTCGCAGCAGCGACTAATGACGCTGCATGCTCTTCCTCATACCCCTCCGTCTTCATATCACTGAGACCGAGGTCCTGTTCCTCCTCCTCCGTCCGCTCGTAGTCCTCGACCTTCATCTGCGCGTCGGGCTCAGGCGCCTTGAAGCTCTGCACGTAGCTGCTAGCTAGCGGGTCGGAGAGCACGATGCTGAATTTGATGTCGCCGTTGATGGCCGCCGAGAGCTGATTAAAGAAATCGTCCCATTTGGTTTTTGAAGTCGCCTCCATCGAGTCACCGCTATCCGTGGTGTTGAATATCGAGGAATGGAGGTCATCGCGGACCTGAGTGAGAAGACCCTCGATCGTCGTAAACCGACCGCCCAGTGTGCCGGGCTCGACACTGAGGTGCAG